TTTGGAATTGGAATTTGTCTATAATGCAGACCTAAGAGATGGCTGTTTAAAAGACAACCGTGGAAGAATTGGTTCGCAAAATTTTCACGAATTTCATGCAATTGTTCTATTTGATGAAATACAGTATTTTCATTTTTTTTAATTATTTTTGCAATAATGTCTCCGAAATGCAATTTTCCCCTGTAATCATATTTTAGATCTATAATATCAAGAGAAATTCTGATATCATTACTACTTGATCATATTTGAGATATTACTACTCGATATCAAGATAGCCAAAATGGAAGAATTGGTTGACAAAATTTTCATGAATTCATTATAAGTCAACTTAGTAGTAAATTGCAAGTAAATAATACCAAAGATATTCTCGGCTGGAAGGAGAAGAATCAATTTTTTACAAAAGATTTGTGAATTTGTTACAAGCTTAAAATTTAGTATGGTTTGTTCAGAAATAAAAAAAAATAATATCAATATATTTTCGGTTTGAAGCAACCATAAATGATATTCTTGAATTACTATTTTAGCTTTTTTTTAAATTCTCAACCAATTTTACACTTAATAAATGTCTGGTATGTCTGGTATGAAAGATCATACAAATATAATAAAAATACAGTGATATCTGAAATTTGTCTTAAATATCAAAGACTTTATTTTAAATTCACCAATGGTGTTTGGAAAAAATACTGGATTAGTATTTTTTTACTTAAACACTGTACGTTTTCACAAAGAAAAAATAGTTTATAAAGTGTTCATGAATTTGTTACAAGTATACTTTGGAAGTAAATCGTATCAAAGATATCAACGATTTAAAGTATAAATAATTTTCTTGAAATACTATTTTAGTAAGTATAATATTAATTGTAAAAATACTTAAAATATCAAAGATCTTTGTATTGAAGTAACGATAAGTATTTTACAAAAATACTCAATTAATATTTTTAATCAAACATCATACGACTCCATAATATTAGGAAGTTCGAAATAATAAATTAAAAATTAGTTCGAAAAATATACATGAATTTGTTCCAAGTCAATTTTGTATGACTTGCAAGTAAATAATATCAAAGATATTAACGATTTCAAGTAGCAATAAATAATTTGCTTGAAATATTACTATTTTAGTAAATATAATTGCAATGTTACTAAAACTTAAACATGAAAGTCTTTGTTGTAAATTACTACAATAATTTTAAAAAAGATACAGGACTCACATTTTTCCCATATCTTCCAAATATTAAGAAAAAACATTTTCATAAGTTTGTTTTTAGTTAATTTAGTGTAACTCGTTCAAGTGTGTTAGGAAAAATTTGAAGATTTTTGATTTTTAAAGGTTATGGGCCCAAAAAAGTTACATGATCATTATACTAAACATTTTAAGAAGAAACCAAATATTAAGAAGAAACAGTTCGTAACATTTTTATATAAGTTTGTTTTTATTTAATTTAGTATAACTCGTTCATGAGTATAATTTCATAGAAAAACCAATTAATTTAATTACAATATTTTAAGAAATAGTGATATAATATTTTGTTTAATTTATTCATTTAATAAGAAAAAGAATTAAAAAATAAGGAATACATTGAGTCTAATATATAACTTTTCAATCTAATCACTTGGGCATTCAAATCTATTTTTGGAACAGGGTATTCAATATATGTGTTAAGAAAAATTCGAAGATTTTGGAATTTTTGAAGATTGTGGCTCCGCAAAAGTTACATGATAGTTATACTAAAAACTTAGGAAAAAACCAAATATTAAGAAGAAACAGTTCGGAACATTTTCATAAGTTTGTTTTTAGTTAATTTAGTATAACTCATTCAAGTGTGTTAAGAAAAATTTGAAGATTTTTGATTTTTGAAGGTTATGGGCCCGAAAAAGTTACATGATCATTATACTAAACACTTAAGAAGAAACCTAATATTAAGAAGAAATAGTTCGGAATATTTTCAAAAATTTGTTACTAGTTAAGTTAGTGTAACTCCTTCAAATGTGTAAAGAAAAATTCGAAGATTTTTGAAGATTGTGGCTCCGAAAAAGTGACATGGTAATTATACTAAACACATAAATATCTTATCTTAGTCTATCCATTAAAATTTTACAAAAATACAGATTTCCCATAGGTTGCCAACACCTGCACCAGGCATAACAATCTAATGTTCCTCTATTTACGCGCACCAGTCATTAGATTTCAATCCGGACCAACCGGCAAAGATTGCGGGCTATTTTGCATTGTGAGGTGAGTATTGCAAATTATTTTATGCAGGCACCTACATAAGGAAAAGGTCAAAAGCTATATAGATCTGAGATTTCACCATTCGGCAAATATTGGAAATGACTTATTCCTATATTTGGATACAGACATTAAATTTAGGCTTTGTTTAATGCACTACGTAACAGTATGGTAACAGTATTATTTTGAAGTACCTATATAAAAGACTTGCAGTTGCAAAATAGAATGGTAATAACTTATTTGGTAATAATCTATGTACAATAATACATATAATAAATAACCGATAGTGTTAATAGTTTATTATAATGATTGAAAAAATAATTGGCAATAAAATGCCTTGGCAACACAGATCAATCATAATAAATTTTGGTCCCAGTTTGGGCTTGAATATGGAATAGAACAAAATTTTGGATGGTACAAGAAAAATGTATAGCCTTTCTAATGATGTTAATTAAAAACTAGTCCAAATAACTTCATTGTCCAAAAGGGTTTGTAAAGACAGATTGTAATTCAATAAAGAGAATAAAAAAAATCCAAAAGGTTTTTTGAATCATTCAAATCGAATGCTGTGTTCCCTCTAAAATTGCCATTTTTTGCACATTTAGCTCCTAAAAGAGACCTAACTTTGCCTACTTCTAAACTTACTAATCACTACTTCTAAACTAATAAACACGTCTCCCCATCAGTAGCAATCGAAAGTTTTATGAATATTTGAAATCGATGAACCGTGCGCCCGAAATCGTGTGAAAAAAATGTATCCACACAAAACACCAAAAATATGCCAAAATGTTCAGAAACCTTTGAAACGTAAAAATATGCAGAAATCTTCAATTTCGATTTTGGGACGATTACTATAACTTATCTTAAGAAAAGTTAAAGTCGATCTGAATAGAATCGCGTTATTTGTTTGTCGTAATCTTTTATATTTGCAACAAAAGGTGACATTGAAAAAGGGGTCACCTTTTGCATATTTTCAATGATATCTTGGCCAAATGATGGGCCAGGGAGCTGAAATTTGGTATATCGGGAGTTTTCAAAATGACCTATAAAATGACATCAAAATCATTTAAATACCAGGGCGAAAACACAATATCCTTTAAACTTTACCTACAACATACGGTTTCTGCGACAAAATATGTACTAAAGTATTGTAGAATTTTCTATTTAAATAATTTCTATACAAGAAATTTGTTGTGAGTAAAAGGTCAAATTAACTGCAGTATTATTCTGCATTGCGTAGAAGTTTTAATCTAGAATCTTCCCCCATTTCACACGATATTGCGTGCAATTTAATGCATTTCTACTGTTAATATTATTGTATATTCAGTAATTTTATTAATTTATATATTCACGTGAAACTTATAATTTCTGCAAGTAGTAAATCAATGTAGTATCAAATTGAAATTTATAACTTTTCTGTTGTATTTTACTAATTTATTCAGATCTGAACCTAGTTTTACAGACTGAAAAGCAACGCCAGGAAATGCTCCAGTTTTCATATGAATGCACCAAGGCCGTATTTCATAGTATATAATTTAAATTATACAAAACAAACATGAAAAAGGGTCTGATTTGTACATGTAATCTGAATAACAAGCAGAAATCTAGACGAAATCAAAAAAATCTCAATGTACTGCCAAGGAATATGTTTGCGAAAACAAATATTAAATAATTCAGTATAAATATTATTAAAGGCAAATAGAAGACATTTCAACAAATGTACAGGGAATAATAGACTTCAAAGAATTATAACACCGGAACGTACAAATTTCCGCTTTCTTTAGATGAACTATTGTTGATTTGCAATATGAAAATCAAAATAGTTTAATTACAACAGAAAATGATATTAATATCACAATGTTGAGTTAAACAGGACACTATTTACCTGTCAACTAAAAAGGTTTCCTACGAAACGTTAACCGGACCCCTTTTTCCATAAATTCAAGCCAAGGATATTTAATACACCACGCCACCAAAATTAAAATAATTCATATAAAACAAATATTTAAATTAATTACATAATAAATTAAAATCTTTTATTAATTTTTACCTGTTTCTGCCATATAAATGAATTCGGCGTCTTCTGAAGTCCAAATTGCACATGAATATCTTCAGGATCACTCACAATATCCATATCGTCAGAATTTAATAACGAAACACTAGAATTGTACATATTGTTCGATTTATTACTAATGAGATCCTTTGCAAAAGCACTTTTAAAATAACCGTCATGGTCCTTTGACAATGCAAATTTTACTGAAGCATCACTTCCACTCATAACGAATATTTTATTTAACTATTTGTTGATTCATAATAGCATGAATTACACTATAAAATGAAGGTCTTTATTTGTAAAAATAGAATATTAAATAGTTTCGGTCGTAAGCATTTACACAGACAAAATGCTACATGCAATTAGTGTTTCTCTGATCATAACCAAGCTTCAACTGATGTTCGTCATATGTTTCTGAAACAACTGTCAGATGAGTCCTGCAGCGCCACAGTGTCGTTTGTGACGAACTAAATCGAGAGGCAAATTCAAAATAGTAAATGAAAAAAATAATTTACTGTAAGAATTGTTTTAATGCTTTAATTTTATATTTTTTCAATTCTAGAAATAACTAACGAATTTATAACTATCAAAGTTTATTTAACATAATAAATATATAAAAATACAAAACAATTTTAAACTGTATAAACAATTATAAAAATATTTTATTCATAAGATATCACAATTCATTGTAGCATTTTATTTTATTAAAATGTTCTTTCATTCTAAGCTCAAAGGTGGACTTCCACTTTCTATATTTGTATTATTATTCATTTTATCCAGGATTGGCTTTGGAGGTTTAAAAGGTTTGGTAAACCTCTTAGTAGGAGTTTTAAATGAAACTGGAGATAATTTAGGAGGTTCAGGAAGAGTAGATAACATATCAAGCCTTTTTTGAACTGGTGGTGTTCTTTTACTTTCAACTTCCATATTTATTGATGGAGAATATTTTCTTTCAGGAGTAAAATTCGTCGAAGTATTAGGGGACATTTTTGATGCCCATAAAGATTGCTTACATTCATTTACAAATTGTTCCATAGTATTTTTTAAAGACAATTCAAAAGAATTGAAAACCTTTTGCAAATGTAGTTGTTGCGGATTTGCTGAAAATGTTGTCAAATCAGTTACATAGAGATAAAGTATTTGACGACCACTATTCTTATTTCTCCATTGCAAATTGCTACAAGCAAGTATTGTCTTAACAGCAATAAGTTTTTCATAACCATGATGCTGAATTCCACCCCAGAAGGATATTTCAATTATTTTTTTGTTTAAATCAGCTATAAATACTGATTGAAAAGAACTGGCATTGCGAAATGTAGATATATAGAATACAACACCAACTGTATCAATTTCATTAAAAACGGGATTGAAATTATTTTTGTACATATCTGTAATGCTTGTAAATGTACGAAATGGATAAGTTTTAAATCCAATATGTCTTTTATTAGAGATTATTTTAAATGATGCTTGTCTTCCAGCTGATATCTGTAAATCTCCATTTCTGAAATATTAATGCTTAATTTAAAATAGATAGCACATATATCCTCAAGTTCAATTTGGCTTCAAATACTTCAAACTTAATATACATATACATAACACCTAAAGTTAATTACCTTATACTTTCGGCAGTACAGTTGTGAGCTCTAATAAACTGATTTTCATTTAGGACATCACAGGTTAAAGCATTAGGTCTCCATATAGATATAATCACCGATTTATTATGAGCTTATAATTAAATAATATATTGATAAAATTTGGCATACCTTAGTTTAATTATCTTAATATAAAAATTAAAATACTACTTACTAGAAATGGAATTCTTGCAAAGAGGAACCACTCTAATTTTAAGAAGTTGTGAAGAACTCCTTTTTGATGTGTTTTCTTTATTTGTTATATCTTGCACCCTATTAAAAATTTCATTGGTAATATCATTTCGCTTTTTATCATAATGTTCCAGCATTAAATTTTTTTGTGAATCAGTCAGCTCATTCTTAAAAAAAAAAAACAAACATAAGTTTCACAGAATATAGTAATAGATTATCTGAATAAAGCACTTTACTTGTAAAGCAGAAGGATCATGAGATAATCTCATTAGTTCACAAAGTTCTTCCGCACATCTAATCTTATTTATATCTGTTTCATTAACAACAAATTTATTTCGTGCTTGTTCTAATAATTCCTGTTCATAAGATTTCCGAACTTGACTATAAATTTTTTCCATCTCTTCACTTTTTTTCCTTTCATATTCTTGAGCAAGCTTTAATTCTAATTTTTCAGAATGCATTGCTAAAATAATAAAACATTCACATTTGAATAATTTGGTTTTAGAATAGTTATAATTAATAAAAATTACTTGTTTTTCCATTGTGTTTTACTAAGTACATCATAGGATAACGCCTTACAATGACAAATTCAGTTAAATGTATAACACCGCCAAGATAATGAATGGTTCCTAAGCAAGGTAACATCGGAGGCAAGCCAGTAAACCCTAAGCGCATATCCCATCGAGCTCGGGTACTACTATTACTGAAAATCTGCAATCGAACATCTTCTGGAACCTAAATTAAAAATATTTAAACACCCTTAGCATAGGGAATGAAATGTTAATATTTACTCAAAATTATTTTACAATATTTTTTTTAATACCTCTAAAGGGTCACAACCTTGTAAACAATTTAATAAGACACTGCCTACAGTATATATTTTATCTCCAATTTTAAATTTTCCATCAGATATCATTTTGTTCATTAAGAGATCTATTTTAGTTCGAACACTGTACCATCCATCGCTTAGCTCTAGCTCATAAGAAATCTTTAACAAAAAAATTTATTTTATTGCAACTCAAAATAATTAAAATATTGAAATTATATCATGCATTATATCTGATATTCATTTTATTTCAACTTATCATAACTTTAATTTAATAAAAAAATAAATCACTTTACAATCTATAATTATTTATACTTATATTAATGTAAAAATAAACAAAGATTTTCTACCAGAAAAATAATTTCAAATTTAATTACCTGCTTATCATTTATAGTATCATTCAATTTACTATCAAGTTTATATATATCAGCACAGTACAATACCATTGGTTTCGATGGTGTGTCATCCGTTTGGAGAATCTTTTTAAGACAAGATTTTTCAGCTTCATCTACTTCTCTATCATATCTAATAAATCATAAATTCCAATCAAAATGTAATCCTATAAAACAAAATAAAACACAAAGCAAAATTACCTGTACTTCAACTGAAGCATTAGATTGTGGGGAGTGCATGCTTTATTCGCAAATAAATTAGGAAAACTTCTTTCCATGGAAGCAAGTTTCAAAATTATCCATTTGATATGATTCTTGACCCAAGTGTCGTTAATAATATTTGAATCAACTCCTGGACTTGTTAGAAAACTTGTCACTATTCTTTCTTGAGTGATATTGCTGTTTTCATCAAGAATTAATATGCTCCATCTCCGCATTCTATGCCAGATGTATTAGTTTTACAAGTAGCATTACTAAATTATATAAAAATAATAAAATTATAATAGTCTAAAAGAAGCCTATTCTTATTAATAATAAATACAAGATACAAGAGTATTATTGTATTTAAAAAATTGAGATTTGTTGTTGGAATTACAAAAAAAAAAAAAAAATCAGATATTAACCTGTAATAATCCCAAGCACTGAAGATAAAATCATCTATATTTTGTATAGATACATCAATAATATTTTTTTTCAAGTGAAATTTGTATAATAATGTATCACGATCATAGCTTTGTGGTACTGCACCATCAGTGTGCTTAAACCATGATACGCGATCAGTAGATCCAATTTTATTTGTTAAACTAGATCCTCTCAAAGGTTTGCAATCAATTTTTCTCCTTTTAATATGTTTGATCCTCATTTTTTGTTTTTCATAACTCATGTTTCTCATAGTACAAACATCTTCAGAAACTATCCTTTCATCTATTTTTGATATGATTTGGGTATTAAATAGAATCATTTCTATGTCAATTGAATTATTTTCAAATTCTACTTCTTTATTTTTTTTGCAAATGGTACAGAATAATCTAAATCCATATCAACTGCACGTCGTTTTAAAGAATTATCAACAACTTTATTTAATTCCAGGCTTTAAAGGTATTTTAAATTTTGATTGTAGTGCTTCAGTTGATTTATTTATTTGATTATTCAAATTTCGTTCTTTCGTTTTGTCCTCTGGTTTCTTTTTGAATAAATCTCTTGCTCCAAGATTCTTATTAAAAGTAGTACACTGCTGAATTTGCAACTCATTCTGTGTTGCATCAGCGTTGATTAGAACAGGTTGTAGAGTATTTGATACATCATTCAGAAAACTTGAAGGACTTGTTACTATTGAGCCTTTGAAAATTGAATCATCTATAAAAGACATTTCGTCTGCCATTAAAGCAGACGTACTCTCTTTAATTTCCTGGGATATACTAACATTATCTATATTATAAGTGCTAATATCATTATTTGTTTTTTTTATTATTTTATCAAAAAATTTACCATCTGATTTTGGAGCCTTATTTACAGAAATAGGTTTTTTCATTAAAATAGGTGATAAAGGTTGTTTATCATATAAATCTGTATCCTGTTGAATTTTTCCATCATGAAACTCATTATTGCTAGATGAACTTATATTATTAAATTTCCAAATCACTTTTGATTCAATATGTTCCTTATCAGTAATATCTCTTGCTTTATTTTTTTCTAATAAAATAGTCTGTATGTTAGATTCCTTATATTCATTCGACTCCAATACTTTATCATCATCGATTCTTGAAAATTTGCGTTTGGAATTGCGACAATTATGAAATTTCTCTGAAGATTCAATTGAACTATTTTTACATTTTTTTGAAGTTGATATATCAGTTTCAAATAATTTCCTATTTGTTTTCAGCCCACGATTTAAATTTACATCAGCATCTTCAGGGTAGCTCTTTGAATCTTTAGCTGAAATTTCATAACCATCTAAGTGTATACTGGTTTTCACTAAATATTTTTGTGAATTATCTACAAATTCATTATTTTTATGTGTATTATTGGAGAAATTATTATCTTCAAACAAATTTCTGGATTTTTCTAAAGCATTTTGAGAAATTGGTATCTGTTTACCATTACCAGATTGAAATCCAACAAAAGTACCTATTTTGTCCCTATTTAATTCTTTAGTATAATTTTCACCTTCATCTGAAATTTCATCGTCTTGAAAGAGTTTTCTGGATTTCTCTAAAGCATTTTCTGAAATTGGTATCTGTTTACCACTACCAGACTGAAAACCTTTAAAAGAACTAATATTTTTTCTCTATCTACTTCTTTAGTACAACTTTCACCTTTATCTGAAAATTCATCATCTTGAAAAAGTTTTCTAGATTTTTCTAAAGCACTTTGTGAAATCGGAATCTGTTTACCACTACCAGATTGAAATCCTTTAATAGAACTAGTTTTGCCTCTATCTACTTCTTTAGTAGAGTTTTCTAAATCTTTATCTAAAATTTCATTGTCCTCGAAAAGTTTTTTGGATTTTTCTAAAGCACTTTGTGAAATTGGAATAGTTTTACCACTACCAGATTGAAAACCCATGAAAGTACTAATTTTGTCTCTATCTACTTTTTTAATACAATTTTCATATTCTTTATATGAAATTTCATTGTCTTGAAGAAGTCTTTTAGATTTTTCTAAAGCACTTTGTGAAATTGGTATTTGTTTACCACTACCAGATTGAAAACCAACAAAAGGATAAATTTTGTCCCTATTTACTTCTTTAGTATAATTTTCACATTTATCTGATAATTCATTGTCTTGAAAGAGTTTTCTCGATTTCTCTAAAGCATTTTGTGAAATCTGAATCTTTTTACCGCTACCAGACTGGAAACCCATGAAAGTACTAATTTTGCGCCTATCTACTTCTTTAGTACAACTTTCACCTTTATCTGAAAATTCATCATCTTGAAAAAGTTTTCTAGATTTTTCTAAAGCACTTTGTGAAATCGAAATCTGTTTACCACTACCAGATTGAAAACCAACAAAAGTAACAATTTTGTCCTTATTTACTTCTTTAGTATAATTTTCACATTTATCTAATAAATCATCGTCTTGAAAGAGTTTTCTGGATTTTTCTAAAGCATTTTGTGAAATCTGAATCTTTTTACCACTACCAGACTGAAAACATAAAAGGACAATTGTTGTCCCTATTTGGTCCTTTAGTACAATTTTCATATTCATTATCAGAAATTTCATTGTCTTGAAAGAGTTTTCTGGATTTTTCTAAAGCATTTTGTGAAATTGGAATCTTTTTACCACTACCAGACTGGAAACCAACATAAGAACTAATTTTGTTCCAATTTGCTTCTTTAGTACAATTTTCATATTTTTTATCAGAAATTTCACTGTCTTCAAAGAGTTTCCTAGAATTTGTTAAAGCGTTTTGTGAAATCGGAATCTGTTTACCATCACTAGACTGGAAACAATTTTCACCTTCATCTGATAATTCATCATCAAGAAAAAGTTTTCTGGATTTCTCTAAAGCATTTTGTGAAATCTGAATCTTTTTACCACTAGCAGATTGGAAACCTATAAAGGGACAATTTTTGGCTCTATCTTCTCCTTTAGTACAATTTTCATCTTTGTCTGAAAATTCTTTGTCCTGCAAGTGCATTCTGGATTTTTTTAAAGCATTTTGTGAAATTGGAATAGTTTTACCACTACCAGATTGAAAACCTATGAAGGTACAAATTTTGTCTCTATCTACTTCTTTAGTGCAATTTGCATATTCTTCATCTGAAATTTCATTGTCTTGAAAAAGTGTTTTGGATTTCTCTAAAGCACTTTGTGAAATTGGAATCTGTTTACCACTACCAGATTGAAAACCAACAAAATGAGAAATTTTGTCCTTATTTACTTCTTTAGTATAATTTTCACGTTTATCCGATAAATCATTGTCTAGAAAGAGTTTTCTGGATTTCTCTAAAGCATTTTGTGATATCTGAATCTTTTTACCACTATCAGACTGGAAACCAACAAAAGGACTAATTTTGTCCCTATTTGCTTCTTTGGTAAAATTTTCATATTCTTTATCAGAAATTTCACTGTCCCCAAAGAGTTTTCTAGATTTTGCTAAAGCATTTTGTGAAATGGGAATCTGTTTACCGCTACCAGACTGGAAACCAACAAAAGAACTAATTTTGTCCCTATTTGCTTCTTTAGTACAGTTTTCATATTCTTTATCAGCAACTTCATTGTCTTCAAAGAGTTTTCTACATTTTGTTAAAGCATTTTGTGAAATCGGAATCTGTTTACCACTACCTGTGTGGAAACCAACAAAAGGACAAATTTTGTCTCTATCTTTGGTAGAGTTTTCATCTTTAGCTGAAATTTCATCGTCCTCAAAAAGTTTTCTGGATTTTTCTAGAGCATTTTGAGAAATGGGAATTGTTTTACCACTACCAGATCGAAAACCTATGAAAGGACAATTTTGGTTTTTAGTATAATTTTCATCCTTATCTAAAAATTCATTGTCTTTAGATTTTTCTAAATATGTTGCAATTTTGCCATCATATTTACTGATTGGATTCTAAATTCATTTGAATTAGCTGGTATTTCATTATTCTCTGGGATGTATTTTTTCTTCCCTTCATTGGATGAATTTTTTGAAAAATCTTCAGGATCTGATATATTTTTATCATTTGCTGATTGAAGGTATCCAGAACTTTGTTCATTGCTTAGGCATACTTGTTCACTACTAATAGGAATTATGTTGTCTGAGGAATCATTATCCTCAAATAATTTTTTGGATTTTGTTAAAGCTTTCTTTGAGATTTTATGTGTTTGCCACTAGCTGATTGAAAACCAACAAATCCAGAGTTATTAATTCCAAGGCCAATATCACTTCCATCAGCCAGGGAT